GGTCTTTTTCGGGCAGTCCCTTCCAGAAGAAGGTGTAGCCTCCTTTTTCTTCCTTCAGCTGTCCCTCTCCTGCTCTCCGGGTCTCCTGAAGGGCTGCTATGTCGATGTTGAAGAGTCCCAGCTCCCTTGCAATGATGGCAGTTCTGCGTTCGGGGCGTTCACTGCCACTGTTGTCCATCAGAGTCCGTACGTTCCACGTACCGAAGTTCATTTTTCTTTTTTGGCCGCAGGGTGGTGACCCCACTGGACGCGGCAGTCCAGTCAGGGATAAGTGAGGCAGACTATGTTTAGGGCACCTTTTCTAGCCCCCTCCCCATGTGGGGTGAGCAGAGTGGGTCATAAAAAGGGCTGCTCAGTCATGGATACAGCTGCAGAACTACTCAACTGCCTCGGACCTTGAGGGGGAGAACGACTGAGTCCGTACCCACCGCCCATGTGCCAGTCTGTGACTAGGGGCTTCCAGATTTCACAGTCCTGCCTCCGTCGCCACTCGCTGATCGCCATGGGACTTTGGTTGGTTTGTTTTTATTTTCTTTGGAAGACGCCTGTGCGTGGGTTTTTTTAATGTGTGGAGGTCAGTGCACAACTGATCAACACACAGTCTTCACAGAGTGAGGTTCCACTGGTGATGTAGTTTAACACAATGACCGTGGCTTCTCAGTCTGTTGCAGCCTTCTTCCGCCTTCGCAGCCGTTGTAACATGTGCCATGTTATCCTCCGCCTGCTCCGCCGTTGAGGTCTTTGGGTCTTCGGACTGTGCTTGGTCTGGAACCTCCCCCGCGGCCACTCCTGGGAGTGCATGACTCCAGTTGTTGTGCCTACAGGTTCATCGGAACGCGCAAGCCCCCTCACCACGACAAGGTGACAGTCCATCGAGGGGGGGAGTGCCATTACCCTCCCGCAGAAGTGGTATCCATTGATCTACACACATTTGTATGTTTTCGAACATTATACTTCTCTAGAAATATTTAGATCCTTCAGCACAATTCTATGGTCAATGTGGCAGGCGTTGACTTATAGATTCTCAGGACTGAGAAGTGTTATTGCCAGTAACTTACACTTCAGGAGGGATCCTGCAAATTACTCCTATTGATGCAGCCTAGGATTCCATTGAGCTTTTTAGGTGCCACACCACAATGTTGGCTGATGTTCAGCTTATGGTCTACTAAGACTCCTAGATCCCTTTCCCATGGACTATTTTCAAGTTACACCCATCTAATATCTGCGCCTTTTATTTATTTTTCTGCCTTAGTTCCATACATTTCTCCAAAAAGGAGCTCCCAGTGGCACAATGGGTTAAACCCTTGTGTCAGCAGGACTGAAGACCAACAGGTCAGAGTGAGGATGAGCTCTATCTGTCAGCTCCAGCTCCCCATGCAGGTACATGAGAGAAGTCTCCCACAAGGATGGTGAGACATCAAAACATCCGGGCATCCCCTGGGCAATGTACTTGCAGACAGCCAATTCTCTCACACCAGAAGCAACTTGCAGTTTCTCAAGTCATCCCTGACACACACAAAAAATCTCCAAAAGCAAACTGCTTCAGCCTCTCCTAACCTATCTGTTCCTCCCCATTAGTCACTTTCTGATGTGTCTCAGTTTTCATCTGGCTATTAAACAGAGGCAAGATGGCCATATGTCAGGGCTACTTGGATTGTGCTTTACGTGCTTGGCAAAGGATTGGACTAGATGGCCCATGCACTCTCTTCCAACTCTTATTATTCTATGATTACACTAATCTGGGAGAACTAAATTGCCATATTGCTTTGAGGTGCAAAAGTTGAAAGATGCTATACAGAACTGTTTGCATGGCTTCTCTGTACTTGTGCAGTGTCATAAAAAGCACAACCATTGGCTTAATGGTGTTTACAGCAGCATTAATGGCGTTTACACCAAGATTAGGGGCAAAGCATGCCTCTGTTATTTTATAGCAGGCATGGGTAAACTTGGGCCCTACAATGTTTTGGACTTACTCATAATTCCTAAGAGCCAACTGTTAGGAATTATGGGAGTTGAAGTCCGAAACACCTGGAGGGCCCAAGTTTGCCCATGTCTGCATTAACATCACAACCTACACAGAATATATAAAATGCCTTCTTTGTGTTCTGCATATGAATGTAGCAAGAAATCTGTGGGGGGAAACACCAAAGCACATATATTACTCTCATACGTAAGTCATAGAATCAAACAATACTAGAGTTGGAAGAGGCATCATGGGCCATCCAGTCCAACCTCCTGCCAAGAAGTAGGAATTGTGGGAATTAAAGTCCATAGAATCATAGAATCAAAGAGTTGGAAGAGATCTCATGGACCATCAAGTCCAACCCCATTCTGCCAAGAAGCAGGAATATTGCATTCAAATCACCCCTGACAGATGGCCATCCAGCCTCTGTTTAAAAGCTTCCAAAGAAGGAGCCTCCACCACACTCCGAGGCAGAGAGTTCCACTGCTGAACGGCTCTTACAGTCAGGAAGTTCTTCCTCATGTTCATAGAATCATAGAATTACTCCAAAACTCCTGGAGGGCTAAAGTTTGCCCCTGCCTGCACTAGACTCTTCACAATACAGCCTAGACTCACATTGGCCTTTTTCGCTTTTGCATCACACCTAGGATCATACAATCATAGAGTTGGAGGAGACCTTGTGGGCCATCCCATCCAACTCCTTTCTGCCAAGAAGCAGGAAAATCACGTTCAAAGCACCCCCGACAGATGGCCATCAAGCCTCTGTTTAAAAGTCTCCAAAGAAGGAGCCTCCACCACAGTCCGGGGCAGAGAGTTCCATTGCTGAACAGCTCTCACAGTCAGGAAGTTCTTCCTAATGTTCAGGTGGAATCTCCTTTCCTGTAGTTTGAAGCCATTGTTCCACATTCTAATCTCCAGGGCAGCAGGAAACAAGCCTATTCCCTCCTCCCTATGACTTCCCCTCAGATATTTATACATGGCTATCATCATATCTCCTCTCAGCCTTCTCTTCTTCAAGCTAAACATGCCCAGCTCTTTACACTGCTCCTCATAGGGTTTGTTCTCCAGACCCTTGATGATTTTAGTCATCCTCTGGACTCATTCCAGCTTGTCAACATCTACCTTTGACTCATGTTCAGCTTGTGATCTCACCCAAATGGTTCTGGCCCAGACTACCTGTCCGAATGTATATCCTGTAATGAACCATCACATAATTTAAGACCATCTGGAGAGGCCCTGATCTCGATCCCACCGACATCGCAAACGTGACAGGTAGGGATGAGGGACAGGGCCTTCTCTGCAGTGGCCCCCCATCTGTGGAACTCCCTCCCCAGGGACATCAGATTGGCCACCTCCTTCCTGTCTTTCAGAAGGAAATTTAAGATCTGGCTAAGCATTCAACCAGTAATAACAGCAACTACAAGAAAGGAGATTCCATCTGAACATGAGGAAGAACTTCCTGACTGTGAGAGCCGTTCAGCAGTGGAACTCTTTGCCCCGGAGTGTGGTGGAGGCTCCTTCTTTGGAAGCTTTTAAACAGAGGCTGGATGGCCATCTGTCAGGGGTGATTTGAATGCAATATTCCTGCTTCTTGGCAGAATGGGGTTGGACTGGATGGCCCATGAGGTCTCTTCCAATTCTTTGATTCTATGATTCTATAAGCAAAAGACGTTTTTAAGACAATAAATTGACCCGGACTAGACCTTATTTATTTATTTATTTATTTATTTATTTCGAGGTTTTATATGCCGACCCTCTCACCTTCAAAGAGGGATTTGGACCTGTTCACAACATGTGTTAACATACAAAGAATATACAATAACAACACAATGCCACTTCATTACACGATTAAAATATCAGCACCATACACATTAAAACATTATCATCCCAGTTAAAAGAGCCAAATCGTCCGACACCATCACAATCCCATTCATCCTCCTCCTTTCATGTGGGCAAAGAATTAAATCAGTTGTCAAATGCCGCGTTCCACAACCAGGTCTTTGTTAGTTTCCTGAACGTCATGAGGGAGGGGGCAGTTCTGATCTCTAATGGCAGGGAGTTCCAAAGTCGAGGGGCCACCATCGAGAAGGCCCTGTCCCTCGTCCCCACCAGCCGTGCCTGTGAAGGTGGAGGGACCGAGAGCAGGGCCCCTCCAGACGATCTTAGTGGTCTTGATGGTTCGTAGGGGAGAATACGTTCGGAGAGGTAAACAGGGCCGGAGTCGTTTAGGGCTTTATAGGTCAACACCAGCACTTTGAATTGTGCTCGGAAGCTAATTGGCAGCCAGTGGAGCTGGCGTAACAGCGGAGTGGTATGCTCCCTGTACCCAGCCCCCGTTAGTAATCTGGCTGCACGCGTTGTACTTGCAGTCTTTAGAGGCAGCCCCACGTAGAGAGCGTTGCAGTAACCTTGGATTGGATTCTGGTTTTAAGAGGCGTGCTTTTAGTCAATTATTTAATTACTTTAAAAAAAATATTTTAAAGCCTTGTTGATAGTTTTTATGGCATCCTATGATGCTTTTGTGAGGCCCCCCTGGGTGAGAAGGGCGGGATAGAAATATAGGAAATAAATAAATGAATCTACGAAGACTCTTGCATCCCTTTCACTTGTGTCAAGACACGTGTCCTCCATCCCATGCTCCCACTGATGCTGCCTAGATCACATTGGCCTCTTTAACAGCACCATTAGTACACCGCCAACTCATGTTCAGGATTGTGGTCTACTAAAAGTCCTAGATCTCTCCAACATGTCAAGCCAGATAATGGTTTGAGAGCAGGTGTTTGGCAGCACAAAACCATCCAGACTGAGGCTCTTCCACTTCCATAACCAAGGCCCAGAGACATGCTCAAACCTCTGCCCACAACAACCAACTCTAGTCAGACACTCAACTTGATGCCTTTGCAGGCTGACCCCATCCTTGCAACACAAGGCCTGCCCCCTCCCTGCCTTGCTCCTTTGCAAATGGGGGGAGGGAGAGAATGACTCATGCAATGCCCCCCATTTCTCCCAAGGCCTTCCTGCGCGCGCAGCTCCTCACCTGCGAGTAAAGGAGCTGCAAAGCACCGCCGGCTGACACCAGGAGCCTGGGAGGACGCACTGCGCATGCGCATCCCAGGGAGCCCGAGCAAATCTTTGCTTCTGATGTATACAAACTCGGCCCCGCCTTTTGCGCCTCTGTACGCATGCGCGCTGTTTGTAGTTCAAAACATAATTGATGACTATGGGCAGAAGGGGTTGGGAGGACTACCAAGACCAGCATGCAACGCGCGGAATAGGAGGCGGGTGTCCTGGGACTTTCTCTCGGGCTACAAAATTGACATTTCCATTCATAAAAATGTTAAGAGGGGAGGAAACAAACTTGGCAAGCTGGAAACTAGGCAATGGTGGGTCATGAGACCTCGCTTTGGGAAGGAGGCATCTCAAGCCAAGATCAAAGAGGGTTTTTGTTGTTGCTCTCTGCCTGATTCCAATTAACAAAAATCTTATTTATTTATTGAAAGTGCAAAAAAATAAAATAGAAATGTAACATTGCAGATTTTTCTCCCTTTATACAACACATCTAATCACTTCTCAACAAAAGATTGCCCCAGGCACTGCCAGGCCATCAAATGCTAATCAAGGTGGTCAGTTGAAACATTCACACCTAGCTCCAGCAGACAAGAGTCCTTTGTCCCACCCTGGTCATTGCACAGATATATAAACCCTTTTCCCTAGTTCCAACAGACCTCAGACCTAATCACCTCTCAACAAAAGATTGCTCCAGGCACTGTCAGGCCATTATATGCTAATCAAGGTGGTCAGTTGAAACATTCACACCTAGCTCCAGCAGACAAGAGTCCTTTGTCCCACCCTGGTCATTCCACAGATATATAAACCCTTTTCCCTAGTTCCAACAGACCTCACTACCTCTGAGGATGCTTGCCATAGATGCAGGTGAAACTTCAGGAGAGAATGCCTCTAGAACATGGCCATATAGCCCGGAAAAACCGGAGATGGTGGTCGGGCATTTGGACAATGTGGCCAGTTCAGCGGAGTTAATGGCGGAGGACCATCACTTCAGTGCTGGTGGTCTTTGCTTCTTCCAACACACATTTGTCTGCCTATCTTCCCAAGAGATTTGCAGGAGTTTTTTGGAGGCAACGCTGATGGAATCGTTCCAGGAGTTGCATGTGACATCTGTAGATAGTCCATGTCTCGCAGGCATATAATCTTGGTTATTTTTTTTTATGTTTAACTGATGTTTAATAATTCAATGCACAAATCAGGAGCTTGGCAAAAACTTGGTACATGAAACTAAGAACACTTGAAAGCAAGACCGTTATGGAATTCCAACCCAACTGAGGCATCTCTTTCCTATGAATCAATATAAGGCTTTTCCAGATCCCAAAACCGAAAGGAAAGCATTTCTCTTGACCTTACCACCAGATAAAAGTTTCTTATCTCTCTTTTTCTGTAAACAAACTGATCTTTTTTCACCTGAGCACTCTGTTTACAAAAGCCTTGCTTTCTATCTACACTCTCATTAACTTGACACTCATTAACTTCTGCACCTAACAAATTATATACAGACAATTTCTCTGAGAAAGACTGCGAAGGGCGTCTCCCAGGAATGTGACTTTGTGAATCTTCCAGAGACAGCTCGGGCCTCTCATCTAAGCTTAACTCAGGACCAGGTAGACCTTCCTAATGCAGTGACTCATAAATAAAGTTCCTCATGTTGTGGTGACCCCCCAATCATAAAATTATTGTAGTTGCTATTTCGTAACTATAATTTTGCTACTGTTATGAATTGTAAATATCCAATATGCAGGATGTATGTTCATTCACTGGACCAAATTTGGCACAAATACCCCATACGCCCAAATTTAAATACTGCTGAGGTTGATTTTGTCATTTGGGAGTTATAGTTGCTTGGATTTATAGTTCAATCAAAGAGCATTCTGAACTCTACCAACAATTGAATTAAACCAACTTGGCACACAGAACTTCCATGACCAACAGAAAATACTGGAAAGACTTGCTGGGCATAATCCTTGAGTTTTGGAGTTGTAGTTCACCTATATCCAGAGAGCACTGTGGTCTCAAACAATGATGGATACAGACCAAACTTGGCACAAATACTTAATATGCCCAAATGTGAACACTGGTGGAGTTAGGGGAAAATAGAGCTTGACATTTGAGAGATGTAGTTGCTGGGATTTATAGTTCACCTACAATCAAAGAGCATTCTGAACCCCACCAATGATAGAATTGGGCCAAACTTCCCACACAAAATCCCCATGACCAACAGAAAATGCTGCATTTTATGATGGTCTTTAGTGACCCCTCTGACACCCCCCTCATGACCCCCCCAGGGGTCCCGACCCCCAGGTTGAGAAACACTGAGGTAGACCCTCATCCCCATCACCAACAGACCCGGACCCACCATCAGGAACATCATCCCCATTCCCAGCATGATCATCGGACACAATGACAGGCTGAACAGGCTGACATACACAAGTCTCAACCAATTTAACTTAGTTGGATTCAAACTACAAGAAAGGAGATTCCATCTGAACATGAGAAAGAACTTCCTGACTGTGAGAGCTGTTCAGCAGTGGAACTCTCTGCCCCGGAGTGTGGTGGAGGCTCCTTCTTTGGAAGCTTTTAAGCAGAGTCTGGATGGCCATCTGTCGGGGGTACTTTGAATGCAATTTTCCTGCTTCTTGGCAGAATGGGGTTGGACTGGATGGCCCATGAGGTCTCTTCCAACTCTATGATACTATGATTCTAATTTGTGGCAGACACAAAAACAAAGTTTCTGGAGTATAACAACTACTTTCAAAGTAAGTAATGCACATGTTTACAACAGATAACACTTTCAAACCAGGAACAGAAAAAAATCAGATTTTATTACATAGTGTTCTTTTTCCTTTTTTCTCATCTTTCTCCTCTGTTTCCTCATTTTTCTATATCTTCATCACCCTCCCCTTCTCCTCCTCCATCTATTTCTTACCCTTTATCACTTTTCCTTCTCCTTCCTCCTCCTCTTTTTCTTCTGCCAGTAACAACATTCTGCTCAGCACTCTGCAAACCAGGTAGTATTTTCAAAGCCTGTCCTAATCCAGTTACACAGACAATTAACATTTCATTCAGTGTCACATCAAACATAATCACCAAGTTTACAGAAATATCTGTGGAATTCTTTGCACCTTCCTCAAAGCTTAATTGCCGCTTGCATGTATTTGCAAAGCGCGTTACATGGGAGTGGGAGACATGAAGGGTTTCTAATTGTATACATTGTTGTCAATTAGCAGAGGATAATTCAGCTTCTTAGTTCAATTGACAGGCTTCTCCTTTACCAAACCACAATGAAATTAACTAAAAGACAGGGGCCCTGGTTAAGCCAATCTTCTGAAGGTTGTAACATATATTTAGGAAAGGTCTGCACACATTTCCAAGTACATTAATGATCGGTTGGGAATATTGCCCCAATTCAGTTAATATTCACAACCTGCTCCTTAGACTATAAATGTCAACACATTTCAGGCGTGGGTGGGATGCTTGGTTAATTTCATCCACACTCCTTCACGAGGAAAACTGACAATACACTACGCATCGATTTCTAGTGGGTGTGTTTCTTCAAAATGGCACGTACATCGTGTCAATTTTAGAAAATGCCAGGTTCCCCCGTATGCCTTGCTTCACTTTACCTTATTTCCCCTCCCTTTCCCTGAGAGGAAAAAAATAGATACTTAAATTGGAAAATATGAAACAATGAATTTGAGTATCTGAAAAATCATACAATCACAGAATAATAGAATCCGAGAATCCCAAGGGATGTCTAGTCGAACCCCATTCTGCCATGCAGGAAGACACAATCCAAGCACTCCTGACAGATGGCCTTCTAGACTCTGTTTCAAAGCGCGCAGAGAAAGCGACTCCACTAGACTCCAAAGCAGATTATTCCATTGTCAATGAGCTTTAACCATCAGTATTAGTTCTTCCTCATGTTTAGGTGGAATATTTTTTCCTGCAGTATTAATCCATTGCTCTGTCTTCAAGGGTGCATCCAGACCAGGTATGGGAAAACCCAGGTCCGGGGGCCAAGTGCAATGCCTTGGGATCTTTTCTCAGGCCTTCCTCTCTCACACAAACCTATCCTTCATTCCTTCTCTCTTTCCTTCCTCCTTTCCTCACTCTTTCTTTTCCCCTTCCACCCTTTTGTCCTTCTTTCTTCCTCTCTTCCTCCTCTTCCCTCCCTCTTTCCCCTCCTCCTTCCTTCTTCCTTCCTTCCTTCCTTCCTTCCTTCCTTCCTTCCTTCCTTCCTCCCTTTCCTCCCTTCCTTCCACCCTTTTGTCTTCCTTCCCTCCTCTCTTTCCTCCCTTCCTTCCTTTTTTCTTTTTCTCTCCTTCCTTTTCCTTCTCTTTCTCTCTCTCTCCTTCCTCTTCCTCTTTTCCTTTTCCTCCTTCCTTCCTTTTTCTTCCTTCCTTTTCCTTCTCTCTCCTTCCTTCCTTCCTTCCTTCCTTCCTTCCTTCCTTCCTTCCTTCTCTCCCTTTTCCTTCCTTCCTTCTTCCTCCTTCTCTCCTCTTTTCCTTCTTTCCTTCTCTTCTTTCTTCTCTTTCCTTCTTTCCCTCCCTCCCTCTTTTCCTTCTCTACTTCCTTCCCCCTTTTTAATTTTCCTTCTACTCTTTCATTCCCTCCTTCCCTTCCTTCTCATCCCTTCACCTTCCTTACATTAATTTTATACTTTTGTCTTCACCGCTTAATCTTAATTCATTCCCTCACTTTCTAGTTCTCAATTTCCTTTGTCTTTCCTTACTTCTCTCTTTCCTCCCCTCTTTTTTTCTCCCTCCCTCCCTCCCTTCCCTTCAACCTTTCCTCCTTCCTTCTTTATCTCTTTTCCTTCCTTCCTTCCTTCCTTCCTTCCTTCCATCCTTCCCTTACAACCTTTCGTCTTTCCTTCCTTCCCTCTTTCCTCCCTCTCTCAGACGTTCTCCTTCTTTTCTTCTCCTTTGTCTTTCCTTACATCTCTCTTTCCTTCCTCCCTCCCCTCTTTCTCCCGCCCTCCATTCCCTTCCACCCTTTCCTCCTTCCTTCCTTATCTCTTTCCTTCCCTTCTTTCCTATCATCCTTCCCTTTCACCACTTTGTCCTTCCT